CGCCGACTCCCTCAACCGGCTTCACTTCAAAGTTGACGGGATGGATGGCTACCTTGAGCGGCTCGACGAGGCTGTTCAACGCCAAGGGCACGCCATGAACGCATACTTCCAACGCGTTAACTACGTCCCCCCACCGTACCATGGCACGTTCTTTGGGCAAGTGTACGGTGACGAGGACGAAGAGGATGGCTCCTACGCCGTGGACGGTGATGAGATGGACGTCGACGACGACGAGGAGGAAACCGAAGACGAAGACTAGGCCGCCCCTAGAATTTCTATCTCTTTTACCTTAATTATCTTCTTTTTTAATGCTTCCGTTGTACTCCGCTATTTCCTTTAATAAATAAAATTATCTTTTATCTTTTTGTTAATGTCAAAAGGGGGAAGAAAAGGGCTATGCATATACTAAGGGGGAACGCCTCTATAAACGAGACCGTTTGATTTTAATCCAACTAAATTTTTTTTAAGCACAAACTAAAGGGGAATTTTTTTTTCACAACCCTTTTGAAAAACAAATATCCCTAGTATGCATATCCCTGTCTTGTTTTCCATTATCAAAAAGGGGGAAATTGTTGGAACACAAGTTTACGCCTACGTTGTACTAAACTGTGTTCGTTTCTATGACAGGTTTTGATAATGCCAAACCGCCGTGACATAACAAGGCTAAAGAGAACAAAAGCAAAGGCGAAGGAACATGGAATGATGGTTTGAGAACCAAGAATCCAGAATCAAGAACGAAGAATTAGATTTGTATTGAGTCGGTCTTAATGTGATCAAGACCAGCACAAACTTTCAAAACTTGGCTCTCTAGGCTCATTTCATCAAAACTCTTTTTACAAACTCAAAAATGCTTTTCATAAGTTTTAATCTACCCAAAAACACTTGGAGTTCGCCCAGACCAAAAACCAAGCCATCTGCCATTCGGTTTTCAGAAACCGGCGTTCGGCTCTCGATTTTCGGCATTGGTTTTTGGCGTCCGAACCAACCAAGTGGTTTTCAACTTTTTATGACTGGTTTTTACTACTCGGCACATTTAAATAGTTCTCCAACAAAAACGCCTCAAAAACCATCTTCCGTTTTTGGTCGTTTATTGAAAACCATGCGAAACGGCGCGAACTTGGCTAGCCGTGGTTTTCAACTAAATGATGTGGTTTTTAAGATGTTTCACTTGATTTCTTAGCAAAATGAAATAAGAAAATGTTTTCTAAACTTGGTTTTTATTTTGGAGAACTTGCGTTTTTGACATCGGCTAACGGCGTGACTAAACCAACCATGGGTCTGGCTAAACCAGCCCAACAGCGATGTTGAGGTAATCAACAGCGCTGTCTGGCCTGGGTAGCTAAAAACATGGTTTGGCGTTAAGTCCTCCAAAAGCGATGTTGGGCATTAGACATTGCTGTTGAGCCAAGGTTCGAATTCTAGAAACTTCTGGAACAGCGATGTAGGCTTCCCTACAGCGCTGTCCGACCTAAGCCAAAAATATAGTGCATTGGTAGAAAGTTTTTGGACAGCGATGTTGACCCAGCAACAGCGCTGTCAGGCCAAACTTCCATCTTCAGGTCTGTCTCCGTTATAAATCAATTTAATAATATGAATGAGATAAAAATATATGAAATAAATCCAAATGATAAATATGATGTTGTCAAGTGTCAAAATTATGATTTCTAATCTGATGAAATCACTTTTGAATTTAGTTTATTTTATGGGTCAAAGTTACAAATTTTACTATTTAAAATCGTCATAGCTTGAAATCTATAAATCAGATTGGTTTATAAAATGTACCGTTGGATTTGTCTCTTCGAGACATATCCATAAAAATAAGATTTTAACAAAAAGTTATTATTTTTAAAATCCATTTATTTTTAGTCAAACGTACAAATATTCCTTATTGGATAAAAACTACTTTTGTTTTATAATAAATTTTAGGCCATATTTTGTGGCGTTACACATCCTCTAAGCATCTTTAGTGCGACCACAGGTGTAACTATCTTCGACTTGAAGTATTACGTTTTCTGCATATGTGAACCCGCATACTTTGATGCATCGTCCTAAGCCATATGAAATAAGGATGGTATACAGGCTTTGTTTTGGGTATGCCGAAGCGCGTATTCAGAAACGTAGATTACGTACATAGGATTTGTCACTACTCTTTTTAAGAGATTAATGTCTTATGGGGCCCACTGATAAGTTATGACTGAGGAAATTGCATGGCCATGCTGAGATGCTTTTATGACGTCTGTTCCTATTAGTCAGACTTGATAAATCAGTGAATGACTTAATGGATACAAGTTGAATTTTATTAATCCCTTGCATTAAGTTTAGACATTGAGACAAAGGGATACAGTTACACGGAGTCTGAGTCGTGGAAAGGTTTTGACGGTGCAAACGTCTTAACTTATAATCTGGGGGCAATAATGTGTTGCTAGATACCGCTTATTGCTTATAGTATTGGTGCAGAGCCAATACTGTGGCCAGCTTTATAAGTGCCTATACGGGTCACACACTTTGAACAATTTAAGGAGTAGGATTAAACAATGGGATAATAAGTAA